CTCTCTATATCCCCTTCGAATCACAATGTAAAAATAGTGGCCCGTTATGAGGCGCTTCATTAGGTTTACTCAAAAACTGTCAGAAGTGGGATTAGAACCCACGCCTCCAGGGGGAGACTGCGACCTGAACGCAGCGCCTTAGACCGCTCGGCCAATCCTGACATGGAATTGACACGTTCACCAGAGTTGATCGTTGGCTTGAATTAATACATCAGTGGATTCTTCTGCACAGATGCCGTGTTGTCCAAGTATAATGTGCCATTGATTGTGTTGGGGAGTGTCAGTAAAAACCCTCGTACTCCCGTAGGGGAATTGAACCCTGTCTCCCGCGTGACAGGGGGGGATACTGACCACTATACTAACGAGGAACACAAGTGCATTGAACATTCCAGTACGCGGGAGGCCGGCCAATGCAGCTTCCGTCACAATGTGGCGGGAATTGGAATCACAATGTAAAAATAGTGGCCCGAATTGAGGCACTTCATAGGTATTACTCAAACCTCTGTCAGAAGTGGGATTCGAACCAAGTCCTCCAATGGAGACTGCAATCTGAACGCAGCCAAGTCGCAGTTGTAATGTGTAATTTGGCCACCTCTTGCGGAATATCTGGTCAATGTGAGATTGCCACAGGAAGACACACTCTTTAACGCAGCCAAGTCGCAGTTGTAATGTGAAAAACTGGCCCATAATTCGGCCACCTCTTGCGGAATATCTGGTCAATGTGAGATTGACACAGGAAGACGCTATTTAGATCCCATTCCGAATCACAATGTAAAAAAATTGGCCCGAATTGAGGCACTTCATTAGGTTTACTCAAAACCTCTGTCACAAGTGGGATTCGAACCAAGTCCTCCAAGGGAGACTGCGATCGGAACGCAGCCAAGTCGCAGTTGTAATGTGACATTGGCCGTAATTTGGCCACCTCTTGCGGAATATCTGGTCAATGTGAGATTGACACAGGAAAGACACACTCTTTACCACAGCCAAGTCGCAATTGTAATGTGAAAACTGGCCGTAATTCGGCCACCTCTTGCGGAATATCTGGGCAATGTGAGGATTGACCACAGGAAAGACACTCTTTAGATCCCTTCCGAATCACAAATGTAAAAAAATTGGCCCGAATTGAGGCAGTTTATTAGGTTTGCTCAAACACTGTCAGAAGTGGGATTCGAACCCACGCCTCAGGGGAGACTGCTACCTGAATGCAGCGCTTTAGACCGCTGATGGCGGCAAGTGAGCCCAGTTGTTTGATCGACTTAAGAGGTGTAATGTGAAAACTGGCCATAATTCCGACCACCTCTTGCGTAATATCTGGTCAAAGTGAGTCGCACAAGTCTAAACGTGAGATTGACACAGGACAAACTCACTCTCTATATCCCCCTTCGAATCACAATGTAAAAAATAGTGGCCCCCGTATTGAGGCGCTTCATTAGGTTTACTCAAAAAAACTGTCAGAAGTGGGATTAGAACCACGCCTCCAGGGGAGACTGCGACCTGAACGCAGCGCCTTAGACCGCTCGGCCATCCTGGCCATGGAATTTACACGTTCACCAGAGTTGATCGTTGGCTTGAATTAAAACATCAGTGGATTCTTCTGCACAGATGCGTGTTGTCCAAGTATAATGTGCCATTGATTGTGTTGGGGAGTGTCAGTAAAAACCCCTCTACTCCCTGTCGGGGAACTTGAACCCCGGTCTCCCGCGTGACAGGCGGGGATACTGACCACTATACTAACGAGGAACACCATGTGCATTGAACATTCCAGTACCGAGGGAGGCCGCGCCAATGCAGCTTCCGTCACAACTGTGGCCGGGAATTGGAATCACACTGTAAAACTAGTGGCCCGAATTGAGGGCACTTCATTAGGTTTTACTCAAAACTCTGTCAGAAGTGGGATACGAACCCAAGTCCTCCAATGGAGACTGCAATCTGAACGCAGCAAGTCGCAGTTGTAATGTGTAATTGGCCACCTCTTGCGGAATATCTGGTCAATGTGAGATTGCCACAGGAAGACACACTCTTTAACGCAGCCAAGTCGCAGTTGTAATGTGAAAACTGGCATAATTCGGCCACCTCTTGCGGGAATATCTGGTCAATGTGGATTGACAAGGAAGCGTATTTAATCCCTTCCGAATCACAATGTAAAAAATTGGCCAGCATTGAGGCACTTCATTAGGTTTACTCAAAACCCTCTGTCACAAGTGGGATTCGAACCAAGTCCTCCAAGGGAGACTGCGATCGGAACGCAGCCAAGTCGCAGTTTTATGTGAAAATTGGCCGTCAATTTGGCCACCTCTTGCGGAATATCTGGTCAATGTGAGATTGGCACAGGAAAGACCACACTCCTTTACCACAGCCAAGTTCGCAAATGTTAATGTGAAAACTGGCGTAATTCGGCCACCTCTTGCGGAATATCTGGTCAATGTGAGATAGACCAGGAAGACACTCTTTAGATCCCTTTCGAATCACATTGTAATAAAAATTGGCCCGAATTGAGGCAGCTTCATTAGGTTTGCTTTAAAACCACTGTCAGAAGTGGGATTCGAACCCACGCCTCCAGGGGAGACTGCGACCTAAACGCAGCGCCTTAGACCGCTCGGCCATCCTGACATGGAATTTGCACCTTTACCAGAGTTGACCGTTGGCTTGAATTAAAACCAATAAAAACATCAGTGGCTTCTTCTGCACAGACCCGCATTGTCCAAGTATAATGTGCCATTGATTGTGTTGGGGAGTGTCAGCAAACTCCTCTTCTCCCCGTCGGGGAATTGAACCCCGGTCTCCCGCGTGACAGGCGGGGATACTGACCACTATACTAACGAGGAACACAAACTAATTGAGCATTCCTCGTCAAATAGAGGCCCGAATTGAGGCACTTCATTAGGTTTACTCAAAACCTCTGTCAGAAGTGGGATTCGAACCAACTGTGATCTGAACGCAGCCAAGTCGCAGTTGTAATGTGAAAATTGGCCGTAATTTGGCCACCTCTTGTAGAAAAAACTGGTCAATGTGAGATTGACACAGGAAGACACACTCTTTACCACAGCCAAGTCGCAATTGTAATGTGAAAACTGGCCGTAATTCGGCCACCTCTTGCGGAATATCTGGGCAATGTGAGATTGACACAGGAAGACACTCTTTAGATCCCTTCCGAATCACAATGTAAAAAAATTGGCCCGAATTGAGGCAGTTTATTAGGTTTTCTCAAACACTGTCAGAAGTGGGATTCGAACCCACGCCTCCAGGGGAGACTGCTACCTGAATGCAGCGCTTTAGACCGCTGATGGCCGGCCAATTGAGCCCAGTTGTTTGATCGATTAAGAGGTGTAATGTGAAAACTGGCCATAATTCAACCACCTCTTGCGTACTATCTGGTCAATGTGAGTCGCACAAGTCTAAACGTGAGATTGACACAGGACAACTCACTCTCTATATCCCCTTCGAATCACAATGTAAAAATAGTGGCCCGTATTGAGGCGCTTCATTAGGTTTACTCAAAAACTGTCAGAAGTGGGATTAGAACCCACGCTCCAGGGGAGACTGCGACCTGAACGCAGCGCCTTAGACGCTCGGCCATCCTGACATGGAATTGAACACGTTCACCAGAGTTGATCGTTGGCTTGAATTAAAAACATCAGTGGATTCTTCTGCACAGATGCCGTGTTGTCCAAGTATAATGTGCCACTAGATTTTGTTGGGGAGTGTCAGTAAAAACCCCTCTACTCCCCGTCGGGAATTGAACCCCGGTCTCCCGCGTGACAGGCGGGGATTCCTGACCACTATACTAACGAGGAACACAAGTGCATTGAACATTCCAGTACCGAGGGAGGCGGCCAATGCAGCCTTCCGTCACAATGTGGCCGGGGAATTGGGAATCACAATGTAAAAATAGTGGCCCGAATTGAGGCACTTCATTAGGTTTACTCAAAACCTCTGTCAGAAGTGGGATTCGAACCAAGTCCTCCAATGGAGACTGCAACCTGAACGCAGCCAAGTCGCAGTTGTAATGTGTAATTTGGCCACCTCTTGCGGAATATCTGGTCAATGTGAGATTGCCACAGGAAGACACACTCTATAACGCAGCCAAGGTCGCAGTTGTAATGTGAAAACTGGCCATAATTCGGCCACCTACTTGCGGAATATCTGGTCAATGTGAGATTGAACAGGAAGAACGCTATTTACGATCCCTTCCGAATCACAATGTAAAAAAATTGGCCCGAATTGAGGCACTTCATTAGGTTTACTCAAAAACCTCTGTCACAAGTGGGATTCGAACCCAAGTCCTCCAAGGGAGGCCTGCGATCGGAACGCAGCCCAAGTCGCAGTTTTAATGTGAAAATTGGCCGTTAATTTGGCCACCTCTTGCGGAATATCTGGTCCATGTGAGATCTTGACACAGGAAGACACCCTCTTTACCACAGCCAAGTCGCAATTGTAATGTGAAAAACTGGCCGTAATTCGGCCACCTCTTGCGGAATATCTGGTCAATGTGAGATTGACACAGGAAGACACTCTTTAGATCCCTTTCGAATCACACTGTAATAAAATTGGCCCGAATTGAGGCACTTCATTAAGGTTTGCTTAAACACTGTCAGAAGTGGGATTTCAAACCCACGCCTCCAGGGAGACTGCGACTAAACGCAGCGCCTCTAGACGCCTCGGCCCATCCTGACATGGAATTTGCACCTTTACCAGTCGTTGACCGTTGGCTTGAATTTAAAACAATAAAACATCAGTGGCTTCTTCTGCACAGACGCCGGCGTTGTCCAAGTAATAATGTGCCATTGATTGTGTTGGGGAGTGTCAGCAAACTCCCTCTTCCTCCCCGTCGGGGAATTGAACCCCGGTCTCCCGCGTGACAGGCGGGGATACTGACCACTATACTAACGAGGAACACAAACTAATTGAGCATTCCTCGTCCATGAGCAAATACTTTCAGTCCTACAATTTTAATATAGAGGTTGAGACATGACGGGATCCAAAACACCTGTACGAAACAGGCATTTGGTGGTTTCAGTCGGTAGAATTCTCGCATGCCACGCGGGAGGCCCGGGTTCGATTCCCGGCCAATGCAGCATACACTTTAGCACACTTAGTGGTAGAATTCTCTTCTGTACCGAGGGAGGCCGGCCAATGCAGCTTCCGTCACAATGTGGGCCGGGAATTGGAATCACAATGTAAAAATAGTGGCCCGAATTGAGGCACTTCATTAGGTTTACTCAAAACCTCTGTCACAAGTGGGGATTCGAACCAAGTCCTCCAAGGGAGACTGCGATCGGAACGCAGCCAAGTCGCAATTTTAATGTGAAAATTGGCCGTAATTTGGCCACCTCTTGCGGAATATCTGGTCAATGTGAGTCGCACAAGTCTAACGTGAGATTGACACAGGACAACTCACTCTCTATATCCCCTTCGAATCACAATGTAGAAATAGTGGCCCGAATTGAGGCGCTTCATTAGGTTTACTCAAAAACTGTCAGAAGTGGGATTCGAACCCACGCCTCCAGGGGAGACTGCGACCTGAACGCAGCGCCCTTAGACCGCTCGGACATCCTGACATGAAATTTACACGTTCACCAGAGTTGATCAATGGCTTTGAATTAAAACATCAGTGGCTTCTTCTGCACAGATGCCGTGTTGTCCAAGTATAATGTGCCAATTGATTGTGTTGGGTGAGAGTCAGTAAAAAACCCTCTCCTCCCCGTGGGGAATTGAACCCCGGTTCCCCGCGTGACAGGCGGGGATATGACCACTATACTAACGAGGAACACAAGTGCATTGAACATTCCTCGTCACGATCAAATACTTTCAGTCTACAATTTTAAATATGAGGTTGAGACATGACGGGATCCAAACACCAGCGAAAACAAGGCATTGGTGGTTCAGTGGTAGAATTCTCGCCTGCCACGCGGGTGGCCGGGTTCGATGCAGCATACACTTTAGCCCACTTAGTGGTCGAATTCTCTTCTGTACCGAGGGAGGCCGGCCAATGCAGCTTCCCGTCACAATGTGGGCCGGGAATTGGAATCACAATGTAAAATAGTGGCCCGAATTGAGGCACTTCATTAAGGTTTACTCAAAACCTCTGTCAGAAGTGGGATTCGAACCCAAGTCTCCACTGGAGACTGCAATTGAACGCAGCCAAGTCGCAGTTGTAATGTGTAATTCGGCCACCTCTTGCGGAATATCTGGTCACTGTGAGATTGCCACAGGAAGACACATCTTTCAACGTAGCCAAGTCGCAGTTGTAATTTGAAACTGGCCATAATTCGGCCACCTCTTGCGGAATATCTGGTCAATGTGAGATTGACACAGGAAGACGCTATTAGATCCCTTCCGAATCACAATGTAAAAAAATTGGCCTGAATTGAGGCACCTTCATTAGGTTTACTCAAAACCTCTAGTCACCAAGTGGGATTCGAACCAAGTCCTCCCAGGGAGACTGCGATCGGAACGCAGCCAAGTCGCAGTTTTAATGTGAAAATTGGCCGTAATTTGGCCACCTCTTACGTAATATCTGGTAATGTGAGTCGCACAAGTCTAAAACGTGAGATTGACACAGGGACAACCTCACTCTCTATATCCCCTTCGAATCACAAAGTAAAAATAGTGGCCGAATAGAGGCGCTTCATTAGGTTTACTCAAAAACTGTCAGGAAGTGGGATACGAACCCCACGCCTCCAGGGGAGACTGCGACCTGAACGCAGCGCTTAGACGCTCGGCCATCCTGACATGGGATTACAAGTTCAGCGTTGATCGTTGGCTTGAATTAAAACATCAGTGGCTTCTTCTGCACAGATGCCGTGTTGTCCAAGTGTAATGTGCCATTGATTGTGTTGGGGCGTGTCAGCAAAATCCCTCTTCTCCCGTCGGGGAATTGAACCGGTCTCCCGGTGACAGGCGGGGATATGACACTATATAAGAGGAACAACACAAAGAGCATTCCTCGTCATGAGCAAATACTTTCGTCCTACAATTTTAAATATGAGGTTGAGACATGACGGGATCAAACACCTGTAGAAACAGGCATTGGTGGTTCAGTGGTAGAATTCTCGCCTGCCACGCGGGAGGCCCGGGTTCGATTCCCGGCCAATGCAGCATCTGCTTTAGCACTTATTGGTAGAGTTCTCTTCTGTAGTGAGGGTGGCCGGTTCCCCGGCGAATGCAGCTTCGTCACATTGTGGCCGGGAGTCGAATCACAATGTAAAATAGAGGCCCAGAATTGAGGCCCATCATTAGGTTTACTCAAAACCTCTGTCAGAAGTGGGATTCGAACCCAACTGTGATCTGAACGCAGCCAAGTCGCAGTTGTAATGTGAAAATTGGCCGTTAATTTGGCCACCTCTTGTAGAAAAAACTGGTCAATGTGAGATTGACACAGGAAAGACACACTCTTTACCACAGCCAAGTCGCAATTGTAATGTGAAAACTGGCCGTAATTCGGCACCTCTTGCGGAATATCTGGGCAATGTGAGAATTGACACAGGAAGACACTCTTTAGATCCCTTCGAATCACAATGTAAAAAATTGGCCCGAATTGAGGCAGTTTATTAGGTTTTCTCAAACACTGTCAGAAGTGGGATTCGAAACCCACGCCTCCAGGGGAGACTGCTACCTGAATGCAGCGCTTTAGACCGCTGATGGCCGGCCAATTGAGCCAGTTGTTTGATCGATTAAGAGGTTGTAATGTGAAAACTGGCCATAATTCAACCACCTCTTGCGTAATATCTGGTCAATGTGAGTCGCACAAGTCTAAACGTGAGATTGACACAGGACAACTCACTCTCTATATCCCCTTCGAATCACAATGTAAAAATAGTGGCCCGTATTGAGGCGCTTCATTAGGTTTACTCAAAAACTGTCAGAAGTGGGATTAGAAACCCACGCCTCCAGGGGAGACTGCGACCTGAACGCAGCGCCTTAGACCGCTCGGCATCCTGACATGGAATTGACACGTTCACCAGAGTTGATCGTTGGCTTGAATTAAAACATCAGTGGATTCTTCTGCACAGATGCCGTGTTGTCCAAGTATAATGTGCCATTGATTGTGTTGGGGGAGTGTCAGTAAAAACCCTCTACTCCCCCGTCAGGGGAATTGAACCCCGGTCTCCCGCGTGACAGGCGGGATACTGACCACTATACTAACGAGGAACACAAGTGCATTGAACATTACAGTACCGAGGGGAGGCCGGCCCAATGCAGCTTCCGTCACAATGTGGCCGGGAATTGGAATCACAATGTAAAAATAGTGGCCCGAATTGAGGCACTTCATTAGGTTTACTCAAAACCTCTGTCAGAAGTGGGATTCGAACCAAGTCCTCCAATGGAGACTGCAATCTGAACGCAGCCAAGTCGCAGTTGTAATGTGTAATTTGGCCACCTCTTGCGGAATATCTGGTCAATGTGAGATTGCCACAGGAAGACACACTCTATAACGCAGCCAAGTCGCAGTTGTAATGTGAAAACTGGCCATAATTCGGCCACCTCTTGCGGAATATCTGGTCAATGTGAGATTGACACAGGAAGACGCTATTTAGATCCCTTCCGAATCACAATGTAAAAAAATTTGGCCCGTAATTGAGGCACTTCATTAGGTTTACTCAAAAACCTCTGTCACAAGTGGGATTCGAACCAAGTCCTCCAAGGGAGACTGCGATCGGAACGCAGCCAAGTCGCAGTTTTAATGTGAAAATTGGCCGTAATTTGGCCACCTCTTGCGGAAATCTGGTCAATGTGAGATTGACACAGGACGACACACTCTTTACCACAGCCTAGTCGCAATTGTAATGTGAAAACTGGCCGTAATTCGGCCACCTCTTTGCGGAATATCTGGTCAATGTGAGATTGACACAGGAAGACACTCTTTAGATCCCTTTCGAATCACAATGTAATAAAATTGGCCCCGAATTGAGGCACTTCATTAGGTTTGCTTAAACACTGTCAGAAGTGGGATTCAAACCCACGCCTCCCAGGGGAGACTGCGACCCTAAACGCAGCGCCTTAGACCGCTCGGCCATCCTGACATGGAATTTGCACCTTTACCAGAGTTGACCGTTGGCTTGAAATTAAAACAATAAAAACATCAGTGGCTTCTTCTGCACAGACGCCGCGTTCTCAAGGTATAATGTGCCATTGATTGTGTGGGGAGTGTCAGCAAACTCCCTCTTCTCCCCGTCGGGGAATTGAACCCCGGTCTCCCGCGTGACAGGCGGGGATACTGACCACTATACTAACGAGGAACACAAACTAATTGAGCATTCCTCGTCATGAGCAAATACTTTCAGTCCTACAATTTTAAATATGAGGTTGAGACATGACGGGATCCAAAACACCTGTAGAAACAGGCATTGGTGGTTCAGTGGTAGAATTCTCGCCTGCCACGCGGGAGGCCCGGGTTCGATTCCCGGCCAATGCAGCATACACTTTAGCACACTTAGTGGTAGAATTCTCTTCTGTACCGAGGGAGGCCGGCCAATGCAGCTTCCGTCACAATGTGGCCGGGAATTGGAATCACAATGTAAAAATAGTGGCCCGAATTGAGGCACTTCATTAGGTTTACTCAAAACCTCTGTCACAAGTGGGATTCGAACCAAGTCCTCACAAGGGAGACTGCGATCGGAACGCAGCCAAGTCGCAATTTTAATGTGAAAATTGGCCGTAATTTGGCCACCTCTTGCGGAATATCTGGTCAATGTGAGTCGCACAAGTCTAAACGTGAGATTGACACAGGACAACTCACTCTCTATATCCCCTTCGAATCACAATTGTAGAAATAGTGGCCCGAATTGAGGCGCTTCATTAGGTTTACTCAAAAACTGTCAGAAGTGGGATTCGAACCCACGCCTCCAGGGGGAGACTGCGACCTGAACGCAGCGCCTTAGACCGCTCGGACATCCTGACATGAAATTTACACGTTCACCAGAGTTGATCAATGGCTTGAATTAAAACATCAGTGGCTTCTTCTGCACAGATGCCGTGTTGTCCAAGTATAATGTGCCATTGATTGTGTTGGGGGAGTGTCAGTAAAAAACCCTCTCCTCCCCGTCGGGGAATTGAACCCCGGTCTCCCGCGTGACAGGCGGGGATACTAAACACTATACTAACGAGGAACACAAGTGCATTGAACATTCCTCGTCACGATCAAATACTTTCAGTCCTACAATTTTAAATATGAGGTTGAGACATGACGGGATCCAAAACACCAGCGAAAAAAGGCATTGGTGGTTCAGTGGTAGAATTCTCGCCTGCCACGCGGGTGGCCCGGGTCGATGCAGCATACACTTTAGCACACTTAGTGGTAGAATTCTCTTCTGTACCGCGGGAGGGCCGGCCAATGCAGCTTCCGTCACAATGTGGCCGGGGAATTGGAATCACAATGTAAAAATAGTGGCCCGAATTGAGGCACTTCATTAGGTTTACTCAAAACCTCTGTCAGAAGGTGGGATTCGAACCAAGTCCTCCAATGGAGACTGCAATCTGAACGCAGCCAAGTCGCAGTTGTAATGTGTAATTCGGCCACCTCTTGCGGAATATCTGGTCAATGTGAGATTGCCACAGGAAGACACACTCTTTAACGTAGCCAAGTCGCAGTTGTAATGTGAAAACTGGCCATAATTCGGCCACCTCTTGCGGAATATCTGGTCAATGTGAGATTGACACAGGAAGACGCTATTTAGATCCCTTCCGAATCACAATGTAAAAAAATTGGCCTGAATTGAGGCACTTCATTAGGTTTACTCAAAACCTCTGTCACAAGTGGGATTCGAA